GTATGAATCAATTTATCTTATATTTTGAATATTTTATTAACTAGTAGGCACTACTAATTTGTTTCATTTGTTTATTTCGCTCACCCCCATTTTTCCGCCTTGATAATGATARTATTAAAATTAAAATTTTTWAAATTTTTAAAAATACCTACTTCAATACCATGTTTTTAAATTCTTAAGATTCTTTTCCAAACTACTTAAGGAATACCTATTGCGATACGAACTTCAGCAGTTTTCAAAATTAGTACCACTTTCATTTCTTACAATAAATTATGATGTAAATCACTTTTTTTTTGAAAATAATATAATAATATGTACCTAATTCAAAATTCAAACGAGTAGTTAATTGCAGTTATTAAAATGTTTATACTAAGGATAAAATTCCTTACAACTAGTTTTATAAAAATATGAAATAAATGTTAGATMTATGTTGATAGATTAACATTAACTATCAAATTTTTCTAATCACCTTAGCCCCCATTTCTTCCAAACTTAATGAATTTTTATTATTATTAGTACATAAAGTAATATAGTTCAAAAAGTACTCGTTTGAATTTTTATTTTGATATTTCAAGAATCTCAGATAAATTATCTACCTACTTTAAAATTATTCACAGTATAGAAAGCGAAGATTCTCGTTTGATAAACAAGATCTAATCTTCACAGGTCGCTTTTSAAATAGATGAAAGCACTCAGTATTATTTTACRTTATAGATATAGTACACCTGTGGTGGTAATTTACATCTTATTGTAACCATAACAGAAATAATTGGTGACACATAATAGACAATTGAGATCGTTAAGACTATTAACGGCTGCACGGCGATACCGGAAACTTACTTAAACTTATCCATCATGGCTCGCATCATCCGCTCACGGCGYTTAGCATTTGCAGCCGCTGGCCACTGTGCGCCAGCTATCTCCATGTCAGGCGGCGGTAAGTCGGGCAACCGTCGTCGACCRTCMCGGCCGTTGCTACCCCGCAACGACGACGAGCGCATCGAGTCCGGTTCGCTGAGGGTGTCCGACGGTGAGGCCGTCAGATCTCTGAGCCCAAGTCCACCGCCGCTTATCAGCAGAGCGCCTCTGGGCGTGCTGACCGGCGTGTTTTGCTGCGGCGGTGTCGCTGAGAGAAAACACGCAAAAATTGTGTAAATTAATACGTAAACCAAACACAAATAATATTTAAAATATACAATRATTATAAAGTGTTCTAAAGGATATTAAATACATTTAAAACCGATTTGTTGTTACAAACCTTTTGATTTTAATTTTTCAAATTAATAAATTAAGCGTGGCAATAAAGCTTTTATAAATAGTAAAGTTATTTTCCCTTTTGTTTTCGTTCCAGGCATTTTCATTTTCACAATAGTGTTCGGTTATTTTATAGTTTATTTTATGAAACTTTGTTTTATAAGTTATTAACGAAGGAGCGTCTTTTAAACTCACTTTTTAATTAAAGTTTAAGTTAAGTGGATTATAAGTGTACGATATACATTGTCATTACTATATTACTGCAGTCTTTGTTTAAAAAGTTTTATATGTTTTAAAAGAATAATATTTTTAATTCGTTCGGTCTCATTAAGACGTGTATATTTGGAACCTATTTTATACAGTAGGTTTTACGTATTAGATTATTTAAGACTTTAATTTAATTTCTTACATTTTTAAAGCGGTTACTTCCATCAATTCAGCATATAAATTTATTATAGATATACACCACTAAATCGGATGGGTATTTTACTGATAATTTACCATTTGGGCACCTGTCTAGACCTACAACTCTGTTTAAATGGACTTTATAAACATCACGACACCATTAATGGAAAGTCTTTGATTAGGTACCTATTACTTTTTATTTGTATGGAGGATGTGTAAGAATTTTTAACATTGAGGTTTACAACTCAAACAATCATTGCAACTTACGATGTAAAGTTGAAGCCTGTGACGAGGTTTGTTGCTGTCCGGCTGTCTGATATTTAAGCGCCGCTGACCCATCATTCAWAGCTTTGACACCGGTCTGCTGCTGGTCCGCCGTAGTCGAAGACGAGTTTAGAAGTACCGTTACTTTGGCCGTATTGGTACTACTGACCGGCGCTAAAGAACTGTTCTGCACCTGTTGCTGTTGCTGCAWCTGGTTTTGAGGCTGTTGATGTTGTTGAAGTTGCTGTTGTTGCTGGTAATTGTTGCCATTGATATAGAGCTGTTGCTGCTGCGGCGCAATAGTCGTCGGGTTGTCGCAATGCTATAACACCACAAATGACAGCTGATATAATTTATTAATGTTTCTTAAATAATGTATACGCGAACATAATGACTTAGTCTGCTATTTCAATTAAAGCGCCAATTATTGTAATACTAATTGATTCGTTATCAACTGGTTAACATATTCTATTGTACACAGAGGCGCTGTTAAAAATATATTTGTTTAGACAAATCAAAATTGATTACAATTTACTTAACTTGGTAGAATATGTATAAGCATATATATTACATGGGCTTATAATTTAATWATTTCTGTCTGACGCTATGGCTGAATGAAAAACATTCTCAATAATTATACTTAATATTTTGATRACACGGATTTGAATAGCGTTCAAATAGCAATATAAAATTACTTAACAATATTTTCACTATAAACTTAATCTTGGTTAATTTAACGTGTTTATACGACGACTGAAATATTACATACATAATTGTATTTCTTATTAAGGCATAATGATTATGTAAGAGGGTGGCCTATAATATTATCATCGACCCCGATAAATAATCGTGAATTTACGTCTAATGCAGCTTTCAGAGTCCTCGCGCACCTGTATAAATACATCAGCTCTGTAGGTACTTACTTGACCCTGTTGCTGCTGCAGTGGTTTAAACGCGGTAGAACTAAGGTCCGCCGCCGTGGCATCGTACTTTATACCATCYGAAGTAACCTGAGTTCCACCCAGAGTCAAAGCCGACACATTCTGACCAGAGTTGAAGTCCACCCGTTGCTGTTGGTGGGGTTGCTGTTGCTGTTGTWGTTGTTGTTCGGTACCATATTGGTGAGGATTATTGCCAACGATCGAAGGTAACTGTTGTTGATCTTGATCAGGAAATCTCTGATAYTGTTGCAGCTGATTGGACTGATATTGTTGGTTCTGCTGCTGTTGATACTGCTGTTGCGGCTGTTGTTGTAGTTGTTGTTGGGACTGATTGTATTGCTGCTGGTTTGACTGCTGCTGTTGTTGCATTTGATTGTGCGAGAGTTGTTGTTGCGGTTGTTGTTGTTGTTGTTGTTGTTGTTGTTGTTGTTGTTGTTGCTGCTGTTGCTGTTGCTGATATGTGCCGTATTCCGGTTGATAAGGCTGGTACAAGATATCTTGTTGTTGTTGATATGTCTGTTGTTGGCAGTTAAACATAGCACTGCCACTGTCTCCTAGTTTATTATACAACAATTGTTGTTGCATTGCGGCCGCGTTTCCAGTGTCAATCGTCGACGAAGACGAATAATTCGTTTCGGTCGGCAGACTATTGGCTGCTGTGATGCCGGTGGCCGTGTACTGTTGCTGTCGTATTTGTGAATCGGCGGCTATAGTTTGTAGCTGTTGCTGTGCCTGTCTCGCAACGATGTTCGACGGYCCGGTTCCGACACCACCGGTGCCGTACAACAAGCCGTCTTCCGACGGTCCGTAAGCGTTGTTGGTGGTTTGCTGCTGCTGCTGCTGYAGTTGAGCGACAGAAGTGTTGCCGTACTGCTGTTGCTGTAACGGCTGTTTCTGCTGMAGCAGTGGAGACGAGCCTGTACAGTACAGCTGGTACTGTTGGTCTCGCAGATTTTGACTGATGATCGATTGGGTGCGTCGCAATTGCGTTGTCGTACCGGGAGACGTCGAAAAACCATCGGTGAAACTATGCTGTTGATATTGCTGCTGTTGCTGTTGCGTCTGCTGTTGATACTGTTGTTTCTGATTGTTTTCGCCCGACATGGAATCGTATTTGAGTTTGTTCTCGCCAAATTTTTCACTGCCGTTGTACAACGGAGTCGTTGTCGTTGCTGCTGATCCACTACCGTTCATGTTAGCTAAAAAAAAAATAATAATGTAGTTCAGTTTAAAGAAACAAAAATGTACGAGCGATGCGAATTTCGTAATTTTTCGACACAAGTTGAAAATCAAAAATATAGTTTATCAGGTCGTTGTAAGTGTAGTGGCTGTGAAGATACTAGGATAGTTGGCATCACCAGGGAATAAATAAACAGGTGTAAATACGGCGCTATATATATCGGTGTGTTKCGGATTTAGTTAACTCAATTCACGAGTAAGCCTGAATCAGTGTAACTAGCTTTKTCATCTAATTTGACCTAAATGAGAAATCTGCCCGCGRCTGATATTGCCATTGGTACGTTTTCTCGCGTGACACGAACTAATCTCTAAACATTTCTGATATTTCTGAGAAAAATTGTTAAAACTTTCATCAAAATCGTTTTAGYAGTTTTTGGGCCTAATAGCTACAAGCATATAGATATTGTCTTTTGTTGTACATTTGAATAACAAACAATATGTTATATTTTTTTTTTTTTAAATTAAATAATTCATATCAATGCATTTAAAAAAAATATTTTTCTGTAATCTATGAAAACTCTAGGTGAACAAAATATTAATTCGGTGTTGAGACTTATCCAAATAATATTTATTTTTTTTTTTATTTTTATCTATAAAAGAAAGATATCTTAAGGTTATCTATGATAGAAAAGTCGTTATATTTTTAGTAATTATTATCTAGATACTATAAGTAAACCAAACATTTTTTTGGACTCCTTGTATGCATGCAAGTTGATATTATGGTCTATGGTGGCCATTTTATAAATGTMAAGTATTCATAACGTAAAATATAATAACAACAAGATCAACAAAAATCTACGAACGTCATAATATAGAACTATCAAGCTTATAACAATTACACATCAAAATTAATTAATTTGTTTTCATCTTTGTTTTATCTTAGACAATTTTKATTTGTATTTTATCTTATCTGAGATTGTTAAAATATATTTTATCTTTTCTTAATCTAAAATAATATTTTTATTTATCTAGTCTCAACACTAAATATTATTCAGTTTTCGTGAGCCAAAATGAAATTAATGGGTGAGCTATCTTATATAGTAAAATAGATAGCATAGCATTATTATCTCCCACTCTTAATGGTTAATGTTGTATGATGACTTTATTGTTGAKTATTTATTTTCAATTTTAAGATCTAAGCTTCTATTTATTTCTACCTTGAAGTTTGAGAACCATATGATAAATATTGTCGCTGACTACGAAATACTGATAATAGCATACTATAAACCAGCACTTCCCAAAATTTTTTTCCGTGGTGCCTTTTTTTGGACCAAATATAGCCCAATATAGCCATGGTGCCCTGCTGTAAATATCATGAAAGACAGGACAAAAAAAAACGTTGAGTTGAGCAATGTGAAAAAAGTTCAGACCTTAAAGTAATTTTTTATTTAAAAAACGACAGCGAAATAAATGATATAACGATATATTATATTAGGATGTTGTTCAAAGTAAAACTATCAATCGTTAGACCGGACAACTAGGTTTACGTGGTGCAAGAAATCGTGATCGATACTATTTCAATTGTAATACGCAAGCCACCAGAACAAAGTCACTCATCGTATAATAAGGAATCCTGGATTACAGCGTACTTAAATGTACCATAGTTTCTGAGACCTGAGCACCTTTATGCTCGTGCATAAARCCTCATGAACACAAACACACTATTATAATTTATGCTTGTTTAAAATAAATTATCATTTCTTCTTATTTTGAAAAAATGTCTATAAAAAGTCGTTAGMAAATGAATTGCTGGAAAGGCTGCATATAGTAAGATCCCTTAGGTATCATCGTACCGTTATTAATAATTCCATAACCTATTACTTAAAGTCAGTTTTATTCCCCTTCACTAAATATCTACCTATTTTTTCATTATTTTAAATCATAATATTAAAACCGTTGCAATCTCATAATATATATTACTTGTAATTACTTACAAGTTACAGTTTTTTATATTTCAAAATAAAATAAAAAGGAAACTAAAAATTTCCAATGAGTTTATACTGTTTATAGTTATAACTTTAATTGAAATCAGCAGAGTAGTTTTTGTGAAATGATTAAAAGGGAAAAGTAGGTAACTGCTCTGCTGTACAGTAGAAGAAGAGTGTACTTAATAATCGAGTAAACACTGTAATGGATATGTTAATTTTAAATGTATCATCGCCGTATATGATAATAAAACGATTCTGAGAAAACCCAAATTTTAGGGCATAAAGCTTACCAAAAAATTATTTTAATAAATTAAATACTGAGAATTATTATATTCAATATTATCAAATGTACCAACTTGATTCAATTTTATACAAGAAACCTCCAATCATAATTAGGGAATTTTTTGATATCAAATAATTTTGATCATTGATTTGAATCGTAGATATTGTTAATTCATTCATTATTTAACTATACAACTAGGACTGTTCAAAGTTCAGCATATATTAGATATATAGTAACCTAACCTAACCGTCGTAGTGTATTATGTTACTAGCCTAAAAGGCTTACAATTTTATACACTAAAATCATAAATTTAATTATTTATAATAAATATTATTTTAGAGTTTTTTAAACATTTATAAATATTTAATTTTCTATCAAAAGTTATTTTTTGATGTTCCTATTAATTTTATTAAACGTTAGGACATACTGCTAAAATATAGAAACGATAAAAACAAAAAAATGGAAAATATTAAGTTTAAATTAACTGCATTAATTTGATTATAATTTAATAAATATGGATAAGTACTAATTATTTTATTTAGTACTGTACGTATAGTTGTGAAGGTGTACAATTTTGGCTCAGTTATTTTCGAATAACTTAACATTATTAATTATAATTATTATTTTTAATATGAGAAACTATACCCTGCATTTACATGAGCAATATAAGTATCTGTATTGGCATTTTTTATTTATTTTATTTTATAATATTCAGTACCTACGGCTAATGTATAAGCAATCTAGCTATAATACATTAAAATAATGTATACATTGCAAAAAGCAACGTTTTTATATCTATCDCTCTTTGAATATTATAAATGTATTTTTTTATTACATTATATTTTGCTTAATAATGCAATGATTAAAATTACTGATTAGACAAAAAATATGAAGTGGAGTTAAACTTAGGGTCGGTAGGTAGGCCATTTGATCATCGCATCCACCCAATCCACTTGACTGGATATTTATGAGTTCGTGATCTAGAAATATTTGACCTTTTTAAAGTTATTTATTAGGTACAATATGGTATCACCCTATGATTGAAATATTTATAAATTATTTAAAAAGTATATTTCAGAGGTATTCAAACTGTGGGTCGTGGCTCCTTGGGGCGTCGTGAGAGTTTGCTAAGTGAGTCGCGTCAAAGCACCGGAAACTAACATTGTATACCTAGATCTTTTATAATTATTATAAATATTATTTGTAATCATCGTTTAAACGATAACGAAACACATCACGCGATTATTTGAGTTTTATTTCTAGTAGGTACTAAAGTTAATTATCATCCATATTGTATCAGTGTGTTATTTCAATTTTTTCATCATAATTTGGGCCGTCTAAATAATGTAAACACATAAAGGAGCTTAGGGATGAAAAAGTCTGAATACCTCTGGTATATTATTATGTTATATTTTTTAGTTTATTGATGTTTACTGTTCCTTGTTAATTAATGGTGTACCATAAAAAAAACCGTAAATTACTTTTCTCCAAATAGGTAGTAATTTAGAGTTTAAAAAAATACTGAATTATGTTTCAATTTTCAGCTAACTCTTTTATCAGCTTATTAAAATATATAAAATGTATGGCGTAAAGCTACCGTTTGAAATAATTGTTAGCTTAAAGACTTTATTTAATCAAGTCATTTTAATTAAAATCAACATTGATGATGATTAAACCATCTCTAAATAAGTTATTGTCACGGAGTATAAGATGTTATGACCCAAAATTAAGCATTGACTAAAAATATCTACTCAATAAACAATATTTTTTTTTAACTAACTCAACAAGGCTAAATTTTTGACAATAATAAATTAATTTGATGATAAATTTAATTCACCTAAATTTGCATATTTTATTTTATGGCAATAGAAAATATTTAAAACAGCATTGGATAAACTTTGTGATACTTCTTAAATATCTAACATGTATAATATACTTTATAAGTACACATAGGTACAAACAATTTAATTATACCTTTATTTCAATTAATTTTCAATGTCTTATTAATTTGTACATATTTTTTTTGATTGAATCCCGGTTCTATATGACAGCAATTATGTCARCCTTATGCCTTGTAACTGAACGATTAAAATGAAAAGTATTTTTGTTTTATTTTTAATAAAAAATCTTGCTTTATCTGTTCTAAASSKWAWWWWARGGRAAATCGATAATTTATTATTAACGATAACGCGAAATTGCGTAGGTAGGTCCATTRTCAATTCATCGAATGTCGCCGTCGTTAATCGCGCACAGTGTTTTTGTTTAAAAACTCAAGTGATGAATTTTAAACGCTTGCATTTACCTATAGACCGGCTAAAGTCAGCCAACATTCCACTGATCGTGCCGCTGCTGTCGTTGTCAGACACCACTGCCGACGCCACGGTCACCTGCTGCGCCGCCGGTTGTATCCCATAATTGTGTCGTTGTGTCTGTTGTTGCTGTTGCTGCTCCAACAACTCGTCTTCGTCGTCTTCGTCATCGTACTGTCAAAAATACAATTAGGTACGATTAGTACGACAACGCATTTGGCCGGGAAAAAAGTACTAAATAATAATATTAAACGGTTACGAAACGTTTATAAATACCGCACACATGAAAAATAAATCATCTACTTAACAACTACAAATATTATGATTTTCCGCCGTCTAAACAGCAGTTTAACATTAAATACCATATTAATATCTGCTTACTACGGAGCTTAAAAGTAATACAATAAAATATTATTGTTCATGACTGCGGCAGGCTAGTCAAGGAATTTGATATAATAATATATCATAATATTATTATAATAATATTCTATATCATAGTATTACAGCCATTTAAATCTGTTTCGTTTAAATAGCTAATCGTGATTAATCACATCTAACATTATTATTATAGACTATAGTATAGGTACGTTAAAAGCGTTCGTTATTACCTATATAAAACGTCACCATACGAGAGCGACGCTAATATTAGTATAATAATTAATAATAACACACATCAAAATTAAATACAATACATCTACCTAGGTATATTATGGGATAACAAAACATTAATAAACAATACATTTTTTGTTAAAATAATATTAAATATATACTGGTGCAACGAAAGACCTATATTTATATTTGTATACTAAAGAATGTGCCAACTGCAGGWTGCTAAATTATTATAGAGGTTCTATACGTTCGCTGAAACTGTATTCGTTTTCTATAAGTACACCCTTTACGCTATCCATATAATGAAAATAATATAAATTACAATATAATACGATAATTTAAAAATAGGTATTACTGCCAACTCGATAATAATAATATTTATTATACCACTGCTAAATTCTAGTTTTTACTAATACCTATATAGAGATAGGATGTTGATGATTTTTTTTAAATATATATTTTTTGTGTTCAAAGCAAAAACTTTTTATCATCGAAATAACATTTAACGGTGACCCTTTAGATTTACTCTATAGCAGATCAAGTTTCTTGTACTTTTTCTTTTTTAGGTTTCAAAATTTTTAGGAATTTTTTGTAATTAATTGTGTTACTCTTTTTAAATTATCAACGTCCTATATAATCTCTACTGTTACACATAAAACATAATATAATATATTATATAAATTGTTTGTACATATCTACGCATTGTGCTACAGTGTGTAAAAACGATTACATTCATGTACAGCAACGACGCAACTATATATAAGAAGAATAAGGGTGATGGCTATATAACAACGACCCCATGTCCGAACGTGTTACACGAATTTTTATTAAACGTCGAAACACCATGTGATTAAATATGATGATGACGTCGATGAAGACGAAAACGATGATGATGATGATGATGATGATCGATCGTGGTTTTTTTTTAAATGTTAACGTCCAACCCTGTATTATACCTACCTACCTACATATAGTTGCACTCGTGCGGTGAACAGTTACACTATATTATTACGTCTACGTGTAAATAAAATAGTAAATTATACCGAACCTATAAAATATTATTTACTTATGTACAGCTAGGTATACACTACATATATGATGTATTATATTATTATAGACTATCTAAATCAATCGTCAACGCGTTATCGACAGATTACGACGATTAAAACGTAATATAATAGTATAATAATATTATTATATGTTTTATATACTATTTAAACAATACTTATATATATATATATATATGTCAAGTGCTCGGCAGTTCGGCACACAACCTACTTACTACATACTCGTAATGTGTATACATATTATATGCGTATATATGGCATACTAATATATTGATACTATTATACGCCATAATATAACATAATAATAATACGATATGATAATAATATCGTGTAAACAATTATAATAATATACAATCGCACCTTGTCGTACTATATTCTACACTGATGGCCAATACATTACAATACGTACATAAATAATACTACAGTATAAACATTATCATCGCAAACGCAATATAATATAGCTAGGTAAATGTAAATAATAATATTATTCACAACTATTTGAATATAATAATTACTTATGGGTAAATAACTTATGGGTAGGTAGTAGGTACGTACTACACATTCACAGCGACTGTATAGTAATATAAAATATGATAATAGAATATAAATACGCGAATAATATACATATTGTTATAATAAAATTCGGTATCTACAGTACAGACAGTACAGTATATGTATACTATATATCAAGTATATATGGGGCACAAGTACCGTGTCCGATATAATTGCTATATTTATTATGATATTACTTATGGTTTTAAGCAGTTATGTGCCTGTAATAAACGTGTCCGTGGATTCAGTGGCGGCTCAAAATTGGGAGGTTTACCGACAAATTATCAAACCTCATCAGTATTATACCTCGAATATACCTATGTTAGATACTTAATTACAATATTACAAGAGTTGTGACGAAAAACCACTTAACCTTATTTTGTTTTTTTTATTAGGTATGTCTGCATCATTCTTCATAATATTATTAGGGCTCCCTTTTTCTCAGAATAATTTTTCACGCCTAAATGGAAATGAGAAAAATATTTTTTAACCATGTAGACACGTTGCCAATTCTTGTCAAGTTCACAGAAAACTTGATCGCACTTAAATTATTACAGATTTTTTAATTTTCTTTTATTGATTTCTAATAAATAGTTATAACATTATTTATCTTTATTATTAATTCARTAAAATGTATTTTTAATTAAATTAGTATACAGTTTATAAGGGGCTGTCACGTATCTACAAACAATAAATAATTATTCGCACCAAACGAGTGCTCAGATGATATACCTTCACCATGGAATAGCCGCCACTGTGCGGACTCGTTTATAAGAGAATAAATAATAATATTGTTAAGATAAAACTAAGATTAGATACATATACATTACGATATCACTGTATAATAACAGCCTCACGCTCAAGCAATACTATACTATAATAGATACCTATCATAGGCGCAAATAGGGAATTAAATCAATGAGGATTTGAGCACTATAGATTTTCAGTGGAGAGCGGTCATGAAAATGTTCACCACCACTCGAAAATCAACCTAGAATACCAACAAAATGTTGCCAATAACTATTTAAAAATTATAATTCAATATATTATACCTATATTATTATGCATACATCTAAAAATGATGACACCTGGAACAAAATGCATTACCCCCACCCCATTTTATTAGGTACAACATAATATAAATACATCTCCAAAACTAGCCTAATTAAAAATTATTTTAGACATTTTATAGGTATAATAATTATTTGATATGTTGAGAAAATATTTGTTTTAAATGAGTTCTAAAATACGATATTGTTATGTTAGATAATATATCATACTACAATTTATAATTACTTAAAAAAAAAACCAAACCACTGTTGACTCTTTTATTTTTTTCAAAAACTACATTAAATTTTACCCGATAAATTTTTGAGATTTTCCCACACATTCGAGAATCATTGAACACTGATCAATAATTGGAGGATTAACGATATAATAACAATAAAATAATAAATATAAATGAAATTCGCCCAGGCTTTATCCTTCACTCAGATTACCCAGAAAAAACATATAAACCTATTTGCGCCTATGCTACATAATATAATATATCATACAAGTATCATATACGGCACTTTATAATATAAGAACCTGTGCACCGATAACGATGGTCATTTGTATAATATAAAATATCATATTTATAAAAAATATTCATGTATAATGAAGACCAACAGTGTCGGTCCATCATCATTGCCATCGCCGTCATCGTCGTCGATAAGTTTAATATTGCATTGCCAATGCATCTCTTGCAATACTACTATCTAGCGTCTTGTTGAGATGGTGAGTTAGATGAAGGGAGATAAAGAGCGCAATTTATCACTTTATCACTCGAATAGGTGCTTTTAAATTTTTATTATTTCTATTTTTGAGTATGAAATTATAAACGTAGACACAGCAGTATAATAATAGGTCCTGGTACCCGCCAATGATATTTTTTCATATTTCTCCTCATCACAGTAGATATATATTTTATTATGATTATAACCTTGAATGCCGTCATATTTCATACTTCAAAAATGTTTCATTTTACATTACCCATACGTTAGGGGTTTTTAACCTACTGCTTGCCTTATCCTTTTATTTGAGGCTCGTGATCCTATTTTAAGCAAGGCATGCATTTTTTCTATTTTATCAAATTATAACAATTGTACAACAAGCAAGTCGTTATCACTAACGAAAATTTGAATCACTCAATCAAAAACAACTCGCTGAGGATTGCTGCTTAGTCATGTAGGAAAATTGCCTAATTGAAAAAAATAATATTAAATATCCTGATCCTGCTCAAATAAAATGAACAGTTTTTATATAAAATTTAAAACTAAAGCGTTTTGTAATAATATTATAATGAATTATGTTAGGATAATAAAAACGGATTTTGTGTATATAATACATGTTTTCATCACGAATGCGGTCCGCTGCTTAAGAAGGTTGATGACCCCTGACCTAGTTAGTTGCTTATTTTAGTACACTCTTATCCATAGAATAAATATTATAGCCGAGTCAGTACGATAGAATTCTTGCCTGAATGGTCGAAATACAGACGCGATTTMGTTTGACACAGAAATGGATTTCTTTAAAAACTATTGTAAAGTAAATACAATTAAGTGAGGGAGGAGGGTACGGTTTGGCAAGGAAAAATATTTATTTTTGTTTTCAAGATGGGTAAAAGATGGGCGGCATTTTAAAATCTACCCAAGACATAATCACATAATACATAACGCAAGTAAATAAAACCTGTACCATCGCTGATCAAGTTGTGTTTGGTTGTGTCACCATTTTAAATACATTTTTTTGTATAAGACTAAAAACTATAAGTATAATCAAATTTTAATTTAATTTAACAACAAATATAATCTAAATATGAAAATGTTTTATGATAAGTAGACCTACCTGTTTGAGTATTGAAACAAATGAACTTTCTATTTGTTAGTATGCGTTTCGCCCAAAAATGGCTCTCCCCGATTTGCCCATGTACACGTTTCACCCAGAGTAGTTTAGACCAATTTAAAGTTAAGTTGACCAATAGTTCAGTAAAACATTATATTTTAGCGAACATTATAAAACCAATAGTAATAAAATTACTGAAAAAAATGATGACTACGAATTTATCAACGCGCTGCATCATCACTGTAGTTTATCTTATCTAATATAAAAGATKTCTAACCATATAATAAATTACATACATAAAACTTATAAAAATAATGAACAACAAAGATTATCATCTACGATCGTGGTCAGTTTAAACATATCACAGATTTGGCTGTGTTTACGAATCTGACTAAAATGGTTGTGTATTTAAAAAGTAAAAGRGACAAAGATATGGTAATATKTAATAATTATAAAATACAAWTTTGGTTCAAATAACGTAAATACATATGATATTCGTTAGCRTTGTGTAAAACTTTCGTGTTCTGCAACGTTATGTACTTTTGGTTCTGAAGTTGTAAATTAAGTAAATATTTTACTATCTGATCAAGATCACTAAAACCGTATACAATTCAATGATTCATATATAAACCGGCAAATAGTGGTACGAATTTTAAACGGAAAACATCGAAAGAACTTTTTATACAAAAAAAAAAAAGGAATGGTTTTAAAAGACTTAGCACAAAATTCTCAACTTTTAATATTTGATTTTAATACAATAAGAAAAGTAAAATATAGAAGTAGGCATAAAGTTCTTTCTGTGTCRCCAAGTAATATAATTGAAGCACACATGGCTTTAAATACATCTGAAACTGTAACCTCAAAAAACGAACTATTTATTTAAATGAATGATCTAGAAGAAAATGTTATTTCGCACCCCTGGTGGTGTTTTCTAAATAACGTTAAATAATACACTAATATTATAATCATTTCCAACTTAATTTYAAATTGGTCTAAACTACTCTGGGCAAAACGGGAATCACATAAAAAAAAATTTGGATGAAACTGGTACCCGGGCAAAACGGAGAGGGTGACTTTTGAGCGAAATGGGCTACGCCCATTTTTTGTACCAACTTATAGAGGGTTCAAGGTTTTTTCTTTATATTTTCGGTGAAAACTGATTTTGTTTGGATGCTATTAAAGCAGACCCTTCAATTGTATTATTTATAACCCACCCACTTTATCTAAAACCTATTTGCTCGTTGCTCAGAAATAAAAATAGAGTATATATCTATATAAATATATTATATAGCTTACAATACTGCGTAGGTATTTWGGTATTCAATTTTTAATTAATGTAAATACACATTTTGGGTGGGAAGTTTGAGGTCAAATMATTATTACGTAAACTCTATTATTTTGGATGGTTAAGTAAAGTCATTAAAATAAAGCCCGRCACTAMTAATGYARGTGCTTCTATCGGCATCWCCACCACTRTCACCACCTCCACTGATTCCAATAATATCCACCACCTTTACCACTAATCACTATTGTTTACTCACGCTGACACACTATAACAATAATAGTGACGACAACGACGACGACGACGATGGTCGTCGCAATAAGCCCTTACGCGAAAGTTCGTCCGACTACGGTTCGAATTTTGAACATTCCCAAACGTATTATTGCTGTTATTCAACGCCGCCTGTCGGTTCTGTTGTGAAGACGACAGTGCACGACCCAGCATGCTGTTGTACTGCTGTTGTTGTTGTTGCTGGTTTTGGTGCTGCTGGCTTTTGTGTTGCTGTTGCTTAAGTTGCCGCTGCATGTGCTGTTGTTGCTGCTGTTGGTGCTGCTGGTGCTGTTGGTGCTGGTTCCGGTTGTTCTGCTGAACCGTCTTTTTGGACTTCGACTCCTGATGACCGAACGCATGGATCGGCTGATTCAACAATTTGCATATTCGATCGTATTCCGGTGTTTTTTCCAACTATATTCAAGAGTGAAATCGTAGTAGGTACAACAACAAAATAGGTAAACTTCACAGCTCTTGGCTGATGCTATTGCATATAGCTACCTAGATACCTAAGTATTAGGTGCTATATACTGGTGATGTGTTGCCAGGAAAAAAAGTCGTCGGTATAATATGCATTTTTCAAGTAGGTGGTGACTACAAATTATTAATATATGAAAAAAAAAATTATAGAAGTTTAAATAAAAATGATTCTCGCTTCGGAGGAAATCATACGTATTAACAATAATACTGTGCAAGTACGTGTAGTCTGTATGGACGTACATATAACTTTTACTGAAAAACGTTCTTAAAAATGTGTACACGTTATTATTTTGTAAAAGTATGAGTACAATATTATGACATGTATTCTAGACTTAAGGTATTTTTGGTATCAATTTTCCGGTTATCGCTCAAATACCGCTCGAATCTTATACTGTATCACACCGAATTACCGACCTTCTGTTAAATACCGAGTGTAATACTCTTAACCTCATGGGTTAATACCGTYCGTGGYTTTTTCTGTATGCCGATTCTAATGTCACAATACCATCCACTCTATCAAAGTTTTTTGGTATTCTAATATAACAGTTTTCCAGTGTGTAACGGTATTACGGTATAGGTATTTAGTCAGGGCTGGGCAGTATCTTAGATGGTACTAATATTTAAGATACATACCTACCTAAGATAGTGAAACACAATTGTATCTTATATCTTGTATCGAGATACATAATTTCAACATATCATAAACCATGTATTTAAATACTTTATTAACTTGTATTTATGATTATGATACTAGATAAATTCAAAAATTATGTTTCATGTGCATATTTCAYTTATATAAAATTTGTCCTAATTGCCCATTATTGTTGTTTAGCAATAGCCAATTAGTAATCCCATATTAATTTATTAGATTAAAGTAACTTTGTTGTCTGACGATAGTAGGTATTATATCAACTTTATTACAAAGGTTTCTTGATGATTTTTCAAACATTAACCTTTTTTGTAAAATTAAGAAAAACCTAAAATAATAGTGGTGTATACAACCTTTTATACAGGTATTGTAGGTATAAGTAATATTCTAAAATATGTTGCATCTTGTATTTAGATACTTTGTCTGAGGTATCTTTCCCAGCCCTGTATCTGATGGTGTACCGTTACATACCTGTATCCGATTGCAATACCAGATATAGGTAATATAAAGGTGTTATTTAACATTTAATATTTATTATTATATACAATATTATTACATATTACAATAATAATGAATTCAAAATATACTAAGCTATAAGATGCCAGGTAGTATCAAGCAGGGTGGTTCATACAACAACTAAACATTTAACGAATCAATAATGGGCTATAATAGTCTCTTAAACATGATTTAGTGGCCTGTGGTTGATTCATTAAATTGTATTAGAATATGGGCGAATGTAAGTTTCCACACGAGATATAGCAGGTAAAAATTAYCCCTGGATATTCGTRCGTAAGTTCCCACACGAAAAAAAATWCACTTGCACGTAAGTTCCTACCCGAAAAAAAATTATACCAAACACCAAGGCTGGGCAAAGAAAAGTAACATAACTTAATTTAAAGTTAAAATTTTCGTATTTTCAAAATAAAWATTTTAGACACAWAATAATGTTTATAATATAAATTGCTTATAATTTTAACTTTTAATTCRTTAATGCTSAGCCTTGCCAAACACAAACTTSCTTCCCACTTTATTCAGATTTAGGACTGACAAATAACTTATATAACTTTTATAACTTAAAAATAATTATACACAGTATCATACTATATGGCTATGTGAAGTGTTTGAGCTTTCGCAATAAGCCAAATAAAATTTGATTTTTTTTCTATTACCTATTATTATTATTTTATACCTAAAAAAATTTAATTGGATTTTTTTTATCTAATACAAAAACAAAACAAATTTTAAGTTGTCATTCCTAAGTGTTAATAACTTAACTTTTTCCGTGTGGGAACTTACGTACGGCCGTAATTTTTTTCGAGTGGGAACTTACATATGTACTCGCTTACCAGCTATGTTTCGTGTGGGAACTTACCAAGCCCCTGGAATATTATTAAATTAATATTGTTTCGTATAACCCAGTTTAAGGTTGAAAAATATTTCTCGATAATCACCTGATACATATACTAAGYACCTTACTTTCCACTTGAGAATTGAAAATTTCAATTAATAATATTATAGAATATACTTTTTTTAACTGAAAATCCAATGGTATAAGAGCATTAAGTAAGCAAACATAATATTTATTTATTTTATTTATGCGCCTCACCAAAAGTGTATTATATTATTATTGTATTACTATTTTTTACAAAATAAATTTTATTATATGGTGGTAGGTGTGGTACAAGTCTTATATGATTTTTTGTTTTCATGGCCTTTCTGTGAAATAAATTTAAAATAAATAGAAAACCGAAAAGCTTTGTTCCACGAACTATTTTATCACCACTGTGAATTCTTTCGGGCACTTTCGTCATATAGCAACTACAGGGATGATATACAATATTAACAAGAACAACCTACGGGATAATCTTTTAAGATGACCATAGACTCCTTCCGGATTTCGTTACTTACTCTATCTTCATATTTGCATTGTAAATATTAAATGSGTAACTACCCGTGGAGTTAACATTAAAATTGATTTTAAAAACAATTAGATTKGCTGTAAGCRAATTCAAATTGTCACAAACATTCATGACGGTTATAATTCAAAKAAAATAATATATATATATACCTATCTAAGTTTTATAAAAATTATGTAATATCTTATATTCAATATGTATAATTATAATTATACTAAAATCGTAGAATTTGTAACTTTGCAACTGAAAATTATCCTAGTAATTATCTGTTATGTATAGTCAAACAAATAATATAAATCTCAAATGATAACCATATTCTGCGTTATCATTATTTAGGTAGGGATTAAAAATTATGGAAAATGTTTTTTTTTTTTAAGATATACATACAACAATTGTTTTATACGAAGCGTAACTATTTCATTTATTTTCTATTATAATATTATCAATTTATTATTAGTATTCATATAATAATTTTTTTTAACCTAACCTATAGATAGGTATTTTGCATTGAATCAAATATTTTATTTATTATATTTTATTATTGTGTTTTTGTTTATTTATATTAACCGGATCAAATAAATCATTAACTAACCCAGCTTTGTAAAGATGTACTATAAACTACCCACCTAGCCAAATGTAGAATTATCGACGGTAACACGTATCGATATAGTAATTGTCAGTACTAGTTATATATAGCAAATATTATAATTAAATTACCTATAAAATATAAACACTAATAAATAAAASCTAGATTTTTCGTCTAAAGCTGCCAATCGAATAAATCGATGATGACGATGATTATCTTCTATATTAATAGGAATGTGTTAATTTGTACTGCCTAATATTCCTAACTCCAATTTATATCGAATTATAGTAAATTATAATAACAAATCAGTTAAYAAACATTGAATACGAGTGTACATTTGAGGAAATTTTATCATAATATAATTATTYAGGAAATAGGTACTCACGTCGTCTTGGAACACGCAGTTTTCAGCCGTCGTATCGTACGCGGATGATATGTTATTGTGATCACTTTCAACCGACGCAAATCTAAAATGCAAACACCATTAATTTGAAATAATTGGAAAAGTTTTGATATCATGTAGGTATTGTTGTTCATGTCATAACATTTCATACAGTCATCATCGTCACCGCTACTTGGTTGCGCGCAGTTTAGATACTTACTCAACTACGCTAATAATCAGCCGCATAATATCATTATGCATTGGTATGCACTACATAATTATGTACCTGCTACTGTTACTGCTGCTGCTGCTACTGCTGTTGTTACCGTTGTAGTACGACTGGGAATTTTGACCGTAAGCAGCGACTGGTTGGACGATGGTTTCTCCACCGCCAGCCCGGAATTTGTTGTTTTGTAAGACACCTAAAATATTATATACCAACGTGAATAATTATTACAAATGTCAAATTCACGTGTACCGAACGAAATAAATTAATAATTTTACAAACAKTTAGGGTTACTAAAATTCTCGGAATACATCGTGACAGAAATTCCTGGGTACGTGTGGGAATTCACAGTAAAATACAGTTAAATTTACTGTTGAAATGAATTATATTTTACACATAAACTATTATATAATCATGCATTTCATTTGAATGTTCAAGTTATTTCTTGAATTTCCATTTAAAATACCTACAAAGTACAAGTCATATAMTGCTTAAAAATATTTGATAAAATTAATRAAATTTTGTTTAATTGAAACAGGAATATGCACCTATATTATGTGCCTGTATTACTGGAATAGATGGATCTCATTAAAATACATTTTATTGTTTCGAATATTTATAATACCGCTGTCTCTCGACTTCACATGGTTAGTCTTGACTCTTTGCAATATTTGAAGGCATTTTTATAACATTTTTAAACAAGGGAACCCTATATTTTATTTCTGCACCTGGGCACTAAGATTTCAAGATCCAATAATTACCAAAAGTACAACAAATAAAATATATGTTTTGACATATTGAATAATTGTCTTAGGTTATAAAAATGTTGATGAACTTTTATGAAGTTTAAAGAACTCACAAATAAGTATTATCCATACAAAAATTTTACATAAATTAATATTCATCTTGCTTGGATATAATGTCAGGTATCCGAATCAATTAAAGTGGAAATACAATTTCAAGGAAATCACTAGTTTTCCCGGTTATCTTTTGGTTTAACGCACCAGAACAATATTTCAAAAGTTATGAATATTAATTAAAACTAAATCGTAATTCAAAGGAAATCATAAGTTTCACCCACTTATCTTTTGATATAATTAATATACCATGAACATTTCAAGAAGTTATGAATATAAATATGATATAATTAAAGTATAGGGTCAACTGTTCTAATATAGATAATTGTGTAAGTTTCAGTACAACTACAGAAAAACATCCCAATGCACTTGAAATAACATTTGAATGATTGTTAAAATAAAAATAAAAAATATTGAAATATTGAAATGTAAATTTAGATAAATTGTGAAAAAATGATTATATTGTAATATTATAAATAGTGTTGTGATTGAGAGGACGCCACGCCCGCATGTGTTATCTCCGTTGTACAAGTGCGTAGCATAGCAAATTTTACGTTCAGCATATCACGTTTATCTCCGTTAATTTAAAATTTAGAGTGAATTGACCTATWATAAAAATTAAAGACAAGATTATTACCGAGGGCATCTCATAGGCTTTTTATTATATTTTAATTGTAAACCGAGTTATKAGTATTTTTAGATACAAAAATAATTTACATATTTAAAATAGTCATAACTCAGTTTAAAATTAAAATATGATAAAAAGCCAATGAGATGCCCTCGGTAATAAGCATGCCTTTAATTTTTATAATAAGTCAGTTCACTCTAAATTTTAAATTAACGAAGATAATCGTGATCTGCTGAGCGTAAAATTTGCTATGCTACCCACTTGTACGACGGAGACAACACATGCGAGTGTGGCGTCCTCTTAAGTATTCATAACATTTGTAATAGGAAAGGTTGTATTAGTTATTAAATAATTGTGAAGTATAGTAATAACTGTAAAAAATTTTAGTATTATGCCAGAAATAATTTATTGTAAATTAGTATAATTTTGTTTTTCCAATAATCCAAACTACTACAATCGAATTATTCATGAATTAGATTCTCSGCTACATCTGATATCTTAAAACGATTTATAAAACCAACTGAGACATWTTAAGTCTCAATTTCAGGTCAAGACTAAGCCGGTGATTGAAATTGGTAYACCACAATTCCGTTGTCTCGAAAAACAAAAAAAAA